GGAAGAAAACCGTATCCCCGAATGACTAGAGAAGCATATAGAAATACTTGGAGATCTCTGCTCTTCCCATTGGCATTGACAGAAGGTGGTGATATTTAAATGGAATATAATGAAATGTATGGGATTCATTCTTAATCGCAAAACCATAGGAAGAGTTACTAAATTTGACGTATAATTATTACACTGGATAAGTACATAAAGCTAAGTTCAGTAAATAAGTCATCTTCATTTTTTTTTAATTTCAGCTAATTCTTCTGTACAAATAAGTATTTAAATAACATAGGCTATAAAATCAGCAGCAACCAGCCAGAGTGTATGTGTATAGAAACTCTCTAATATAAATTAGTGCCTTTTAAAAATCACTGTAAACTCTGTTTTCTGTAATTATAACAAACCCTAGAGTTTTACCCATGTAATAGTAATTTTTTAGTGTCTTCACCATTATTTTCCTTTTGATTTATTTAACTACATCTAACTTGAGCAAACAATGTTAAGTGGGGAAACAGATGTGGTTAAATAGCCTATAATTATGCCTTTAGTCATCTGTTACCATCACAAGGCTCCTCCTGCTACTATGACCAGAAAAAGTGACCTAACTGATTTCACCAGCAGCCTTGCCAGTGGCTGATGCAGAATAGATGGCCTTATTAAGCAATCAGAAAAAAATAAATAAATAAAAATCAACCATTACAGTGGAATAGTAATCAGCAGTGTTTATATTAGCCCCACAATGCACAATCAGGACCATGAATTCTGCTAATTGGGTACCTTCTGCATCCAGAGGTGCCTGCAATAGGAAACAAAAGGGACTTGAAAATTAGTGTTTGTAGCAATTAGTTTCTGTCTAAAGGCTTAGCCCAGTTCATGGAAGCCATGATTCAAACAGGGATTATTATAGTAACTATGGCATTTAAATGTCCTCTGTCATTATTCAGCATCAAATTTAGCATAGCAAGACTAATTTGGATCTACTCTTTAAAATATGATTGTTGGGAATTTTTAAAATCCCAAACCATTTATTTTATGCCTTTTTATATTTCCCCCACCAATTGTTTTCTTTTAAGTATCACGAGCCTGTTTGAGAGTAACTGTAGAGGCGATTAAATGTGTTTGCCATTGAATAGCTGAGATTTAAAGAATGACACGCTGGGGCGTGTTGGCCTATTATTTTCCTCAGAATGATCTGCACTGTATTGGCATGTTGAGGGATTTCATACTTCATAAAAATGTAAGGATTGCAAGGATATTGTTTATAAACACTGCTATAAATCCAGCAAGTAGTGATATACCGATGTTTAAGAGGAGAAATTTAGGTATGCAATTTTCTGAGTAAACTGCGAGTGCATTTACAGATGGGCCTCAGTGAAAGCTCAGTGGATAAATTAAATTGGTTACAAAAAGCCCTTTTCTTTCCTTTGAATCTTTAGCATTTCTGACGTAATAATCTGATAGACAAATCTGTGTGCTTCAGTTCTTGCCATTATAGACTCCCTGCTGTAGGTGCTTAAAGGACAAATTAACAGTAGTACAATTCGAGTAACCTCTTCACCTTTTCTATCAAAGCATCAGCTGCATGTTCTTGCTTTGCTAAAGCTCTCCATATGGTTACAGAAGGACTGTGACAATAGCATACAAAAAAGCTTAGAATTCAGGAAAAAAACTGAAGGAATAAGAAAAGGGAGGCAAAAAGTCTTTAAGTCAACCCTCAGTCTTATTTCTGCTCTTTAAAGGTTACACTGAATAACGGAAATGTATCATCTGCAATTTATTAATAAGTTGCCATCCTCATTAGTTAAATGCTGTTTAATCCATGTGATTAACTGTGTGACCTTAAAAGATTGTTATTAATACAAAATATTACATTATGAAACCATTAACTTATAGGAAAATATTGGTACTTTGAAGACAATCAGAATGATAAGTGTGGTAGTTTTTTAGAGGTACTGTACCAACATTTCCTCTGACTGATTGCATTACATATTGATGTTAGCAAGTATCAGTATGTAGTGCAATCAGTCAGTGGAAAATGAGTGAAATGTGAACTAATGAGAGCTAATTGTCTCATATAATAGCAAGGACACAGAATTCTATCAATTAAATTAGTCTGAGTTGAAACAACTATCAGTGTAATAATGTTGATAATATCAGCCAAATTAGATGTAATGAAATAAATGGTATGCTAAAGATCAAGGATACCCATTGGCTTCGACCCCCACGTTGTGCTGACTAGTGAGAGATCCTCCTGACTTTGGGCGCAGTTTGCTCAAAGTTCTGTCTGAAGCGTAGCCTCAAATGTGCTTTTCTATACTCAGGGGACAGGTACAGAGAGATTTTTGAACCCTCATGATTAGGATCCTCCTACATCCACACTGGGGACTGCAAGGAGGGCTAGGTTTTCAAACATGCTGAGCATACAGCAACTCCTCCTGTAAGGCCAAGGGAAGCATCTGAATCATTAGACTTTCAGCCCCACTGTTTAAGAGTCCACTTCTGAAGTTCCCAATTTCTGAAATTTCTGCTTGTGCTATGTAGTGCTCTGTTTCGCCTCTCAGTGTCAGTCTTTCTAATTCTCTGATGAGTATGACCAAGAAATGCCTGTCAAAAGACCAAGTAAATCAATCAATCACTCCTGTAACAGGACTTGGACTGTGAAAGTTAGAAATACAAATTCTCAAAAGGAATAGAAAAGGTTGATCAGGATTTATGAAATGAGGAAGAAAGGCATTAAACTGATTTTTACAGTCTTAATCACCTGATCCCTGCAAATCTATCCTCAGTCCGCATTCTAGAATGTATATACCCAGAAGTAACCTGATGATGTAACAAATAACCAAGGCCAGAAACTGAATGTTTAATGGGCAATGCCTTTTTTGAGTTAAGATACAGATCAAACTATCAGTGGTTTGACTCGCATAAAATTAAAGTTTCAAATTGTTAGGCAGATTCATCTGGATTTTCTCAGAAAGGACTTAAACAACTTGATGTCCAGGCTGGGTGTGAGCACTATGAAGGATGAAAAGCTGAAAATCCAAATGAACTTTGTGATGCAATGAAGAAGTATCTGTAAAGCCTGCTTTCTGCTACCGAGCATTGGATCATGCTGTCATGCAAGGTAATAGAGCTGGTGAGAAGCAATGAAAAGTAATTTAAGGCGTAGAGATCAGATATAGAGCAGTGTCCATAAAAGCAACTGGGTAGATAAATTTCAAAGCTGGCAAAATGAGAGTGAACAAATGCATGCAACTTACGAAGCAAAAAGAGAAGAAATAGTAATAAAAAGCGGTCAGACTTACCAAAGCCTTTTCTCTGGCTGAATATAATGAAAGTGGAATAACCAACACTGATGCAGTATTCACTTTGCCAATCTGCATACCTCCCTAGAGCTATTCACAGTGTAGGATGGCAGAAATACTGAAGAAAAAGTCAGGGCCATCAGTTTTACCAGGGATCTGATGTATGCTCATCTGAAAGTACAGCTTGGGAAAGCACTTTATAGAGAAAATGAATCAGCAAAACTGCTGAATTTGACTGGTGACTACCGAATTGATCCTGTAGAAAATTTGCAACTGTGTATGAATGTTTAGAAATGGGCTATACAACAGGATGAAGGGAATTTTTCTATTCTTGTCAAAGAAAGCGGACATAAATGTTACAACAGTTGAGCCCATCTCACTGATATCCCTTTCAAGTAAGATTCATCTCCTTGTAATCCATGATCACAGCAAGCAAATGCTAGAAATATTGCCACGCTACAAAAGGCTGGTATCAGAGAGGGGTGAGGCATATATACTCCATGACACTGCTGAAAGCACATCACTGAAAAAAATGTGATCACCCACTAATTACATGTTTTATGGATTGTTCAAAAAGCATTTGATACCTTTCCACCCTACAGGCTTGGGGGGATGCTGACAGATATAGGGATTCAACAGCATATGACTGAACTCATTACAGATCACTACTGTCAATATTAAATCACTGTAAAGAACAGCAGGGGAAAATGAATGGTTTATTTTGGGCAGGGCATAAGAAAATGCTATTTGAACATGGATACTGAATTTGTTTTGAATTTTCTCTGAAAAGATTTTGGCACATGGAAGGAGCAGAAGCTTTCATTGCTGGGAATGTCTTACCTGATCTCTGATACGCTAAGAGCACGATGCCCTTTACTAAGTGACTGATGCAAAACAGTGAATTTTGGAGGTGGGAAAAGGCAACTGATGAGGGACAGGAACTATCCTGAACATGCTGAAAACAAGCATATACACTGACACATGTAATAGAGATAAAATGGTTTTTAGTGGTGGAAATGTTAGGGAAAAGGGGACTGAAAAATTAGCTGACAATGTTAAATTTGTGTATGGATGGGAGAAAAAATCAGGGAAGCAGTTGCAGAAGCTCTGATGGTGGAAAACATAACGGGGTCTAGAGAGAGAAAAATTATATAGATGACGTGAGTTGATGAGGCCACAAAGCTACTGCTCAGACTCTGCTGAGATCAGCACGAGTCATGCATGAGTACACAGATGTACTTACTGAAGGTGTAATAATCAGTGACTGAATAAATTTTTTTAGCTAATTCTCTTAATACATGAAAGTAATTGAAATATTTAATATAGATTTGTACATGTGATTACCAGTGGTTATTTTTAGTGGACCTTCCAGTTCCTTATTATTCCTGCTACTTTTCATTTAACAAGACTATTATTTCACCCATTTTTGAGTTGCCATTAATTTCATCCCCTCATCTGTTAATGGACTTTCTTTCTCTTTAGTATTTACTTCGCTAGCCATGAAAGCCCTTTTAATCCTTCTGAGCTCCTTTTTATTCATTCTGGGCTTGATTGTAATGCTACAGTGTGCTCTGGGCAGGCAGCTCCTTGCCCCAGGAGCAGGCCAGAATTAAGTGAGACTCAGAGCCATGGTCTCTCCTTGCTCTCTGTTCCTGGACCTAGGGCTGGGTTAGGGCTGTGCATCTTCTAGTCTAACCAGTAACTCTAGCCAGCAAATCAGAGGGAAAAGCACTGCACAGCTACAGCGGCTTCTTTCCCTGTTGACCTGCTTGCAGGCAGTGGGTCCTGCTCTCCTCGCCAAAGCTTTTGCTAGGCAAGCAGTACTAAGAGGGTAACATGTGACAGGTAATGTTTTACTTTACTCTCTCTGTTAGCTTCAGCTTCGGCTTTTTATTATTTCATGACCTTGAGCTAGACTAGGTCTCAGTGCTGTCTAAGCCAGGAGGCACAGAATTGCTGTCAAAATATCCCTATTAGGCAGACTGGGTAGGGAAACAACCTACACTGGCTTAGTACATCATGCAGTAGAGTAACGCTTGGGAAAATTCATCTTTCTGTTTTTTTGGCTCTCCCTTCAGCTTTCTGTAATTAAGTCTGAAAATTTTGTAAGCTGATTGGTAAGGAAAATGCCCTTTTATGATTTTACTGTGCGTGTGTGTATGCTTCTGTCTGCCTATCTTTTTGTTATTTCTTTTCTCCTTTTCTCCCTTTCTCCCTGTCGCCCTCCCCTATAGTTTTTGGCTTATTTGCCAAATCCAGTTGCATAGGAATAGACGTCCCAAAGATGTTAGGGAAATAGGTGCTCAAGTAAGGAAGAAATCCTGTGTATGCCACCTCTGGGGAGAATAATGCAACGTGTTCAGCCTTCCTTCATTAGGAGTGAGTGAATCCGCTACTCAGTGAAGTTTTACCTCACATATGGGTTCTCTGGTGTCTAATAAGGCAAAACATCCAATTGAAACATTTCCTATGGTGGGGCCGTTAATAAGGGCTTGTACATGTGGCTGCTTTGATGTCTAGTAAGCTCCTGCTATATCTTACTGTAATTCAGTTGAAATGGTGGTCAGCCATGAGACAAAATCCATCGGCTTCATTAGTTTCACAGCGTGCTGAATAACTGCATTCCTTTCCACTTTTACGTCTCTTTTCTAATTTCAACTATTTTAGCAATAATTCACAAAGTCAGGGTTTAGGTCCTGCTTTTTGTTTGTATTTTTCACAGGAACTATCTGTGGTATGTACATTAAATCAAACTTAATACTCTCCTTTTGGGGGGTTTCCTAGCCATCTTGCATTACAAGTTTATTTTCATGAAATCAAATACCCTTTAATTTCTGCCTTCCTTGCTGGTCTATTTTCAGATAGCTTCTGATTACTGCTTCTTTATTTTTCTCTGAGAATTAGCATGGTTTCTTGTTCTGGGTAATAAAAGTTTGTAACTTGAGAACCTCCTTAATACACGTGTGATTGTATTTGTTATCCAACAGAGATATGGGAGGTCAGGATTTCTCCATAATGGTTTTTACAGGCTTGAGAAATAATTATCCCTGCTTGGCTATGTGAGCTTTGTAGTCAGAGCTGTTCTTCCCTCTAGGTTTGCTCAGTATGTGTCATTCCACACACTCACTGGGGCAGGAGGGCTGCCATATGTGGCTAGTAGTCTCTCTTGTATAAGATCCAGATTGTTGCATGGTGTTTCCATAAAAACCTAAAGCATTGTCCACATAACTGAATGAAACTTTGAGGGAAAACCAGTGGGAGTAGTTAATCTGTGGAAGGAAAGAGGAGAAATTAATTGGGTATTTTCTGCATAGTATATTACTAATGGAAATGGCTGTATGAAAATATGTTAGAATACTGATGTAATATATGAAAATGTAGGATAAAAAGTCCTAGATAATCTTTCTCTGGGTATTTCTACATTTTTGCCCTTAGTCCTCTGCCACTGTCAGTCCTGAGTAGTCTTGTGAAGTAAACTGCAGTTATGACATCTGAATATGATTAATGTAATGGCCTAAAAATATACTGTTTTCCACAAATGTAACTGCTTTCAAGTAGCCTTCACATTTGGCTGCTGCTATGTTTTATCATGTATATTGTGGCTCTTTTTTTCTCCTTTTGCTTTTGTATTGCTTTAAAAAGACAACAGAACATGCTGTGAGTTAATGTTTCACTTGTAAAAGGTTATGGATTAAGCTCAGCTGGTTTCTCAGGCTGACACAGGGTTCATGATTAGAAGAATGAAAACAAACATGAATTGAAAATGTCACTAACCTTTATTGGGCCCTGAAAATCCCTGAGCCTGCATGACAGGAGGCTTTCCTGTTTTCAACAGGATAAAGAAGATTGAAACAAAACAGCACGGATCTTGGCTATTTACATCTTTTAATGAATGCTCTTCACGTTTGGGTCCTTTTGTCAGTCTCCCAGTTTTCAAGGGTTTAGCTGTGAAAAGTGCGGATGGTATCACATACTCTTAAAAACCATGGAGTAGACATCTGTCTAGGATGCTTTTTCCTCCAAATTATGCTTAGTGTAAAGGACCACATTTTAAGCTTCATTTACGACTATGCATGTATAAGGTAGCCAATTATCCCATCTGAGTGTTCAATAGTAGAGAGGCTGAATAAAACTATCTCTAAATAATGCATCCAATTTTATTTTACTAAGTTAAAGTGGAAATTTTTTTTTTATAAATTTTATATGATAGTGTGATTTGACCTTAAAACTTGTTTAATGAAAAAAACCCTTTCACTTTGAAAAAAAAATCAATTCTTGCTCTAACTGCTGTGGAAGAACATGCCATATGGTGGCAAAGACAGGAGGAGCTCAAAACAAACTCAAACAGGCCAGGATGGAAGGGATTTATGATGTCCCAGAGCCCAAAATGTCACTAATTTGAGAAGCTTTGTTTCTATTAAGAGCACAGATTCAGGCCCAATATCTCTTGTATTCAAGGAGTGTATTGCATGGTATGACTGCATTCCCCTGCATTAACTCTTCCCATGCATTAGAGAAGAGTTAAATATAGTGCTTGGCCTTACAGACTTAAATATGCTATTTCCATATTATCTTACATTGCTCAGCTGACTTTTTCCTGGTCAAACTACTGAAAATATAAAAGAATTATCATTGTTTTAATCTAAGTTCTGAAGAAGCAAATCGTGTATTTTCCTTCATTTAAAAAACTTTAGCTGCATGTTTGAGTAACAGCTGTGCCATTGCTTCACTGATTTCATAAGTAACCTGAGAAAATACTTTATGGAGGAAGAACACCGGGGGATTCTGCAACCAAATGTATTTCCTTCTCCTGATCTATAAATGTCTAATGGATATGGAATTTTTACCTGAAAAATCACGTTTACTTTTTTCACCAAGTGAAGTGAGGCATCATAGGTCCATGCTTACTACATAATTATTTAACATGTCCTACTACTTCATGGTGCAACTCTGACCTGTAACTGAGATTTAATGAAGTGCTTTGGCAAAGAATTAATACTAGAAGGAACACAAACCTGCAATTTTTTAGTCTCACTTCATCCAATTATAGTTTGTTCTTAAGTTACATAATCTCTTTTACAGTTTGGTATAGGAATGGGGTGATATCTTAAAATATGTTAATGATGACTAGTTTTTTATCTGTAAGGAGTTTTTGTTTTTCACAAATAGTAATAGAGTAATGCCATATTTGATAAAAGGTCCTAAGGTATCTTAACGATATATGATGCACCACAGTTTCAAAAACCACATTTCAACAAAAATCAGTTTTTCAAAAGCAACTAAAGCCTCAAGCTCTAAAGATATGTTGATATGTAAGTCCCATTTATTCAAAGTAATAAAGTGAATTAACTGAATCAACTGAAAATGAAATAAATGACTATTAGATGCTCCAAATCTATAGAGCATTAGCTCCTTAGACAGTTGGGCTTAAGTTGAGATAGGAGGCTTTATAAGGCAGCATCCAGCTTGCAGCTGTCTTGCAATGAATTCATATCTATGATCCCACGCTCTCTAAGCAATTTAAGACTGAGAAAGTAGGTAGCACAGTGCATAGGCACCCAAATTAGCCATGGGAAGAAATACTGAGGAGTGCTACACACATGAATTCATATCTCACGCTGCCACGTGAGTGAGCGTCCTACTTTGTCAGTTATGGAATTACCTCTTTCTTGACTCTCCCACGTCAGCTTGGCCAGCCAGAGAATGGTTCTGTTCTCTGTAACCACTATAAATCTGTAGCTGCAGATGAAATGCATGATGTGCCTCTAGTCTAATGAATGTTTAAATATTTTATACAAAACAGAACTGTTTTAACATCCTGCAGTTTGATGGTTAGGACACTCATACGGAGGACAGAAGTTTAAGAGGGGATTTGACCCTGCATCCTAAAAAAATACTGTAATGACTAGAATGAGAAGGGTTGGAATTTGAGAAGGGATAGTTTCTTCTCCTGGCTGTGATTTTTCAGAGATTAGACGTGCTCTGAGCATATCTAATATGCCAGCTCCTGTAGACAGATGGATGGTAGAAAGCCTGATCTGGGAATCTTAATTGGTTTAGGTGTGGGCTAGACACCAAACGGTCAAGTGTTTTCAGGACTCAGGTAATTCTGGTGATTCCTAGTACAGAAACATAGTCTCCTTGGAGATTTCATCTGCGGAAACTTGGGGAAGTTCTGAGGATCTGAATTTTTGATTTAGGTGTCTAAAGTGGTAGTAAGATTCCTGCATTCTCCTCTTGAATCTGATCCACGGAGTCAACTTTTAAAAAGATACTTAGTGCATGAAGGTGCAAATAAGTCCTCTATTTTGATTCATCAAAGGTGCATGGGCAATTCACTTTATTTTGTGTGAGATTTGTCTGGAGCACAAAGCGGTTTTCACTAGAAATAAGTTAGAGTGAGGCAATTAGACTCTTAAATATATTTTGTAGATTTGTGTTTATACATCTATACAGTACATGTTTAGATACTGAATACATTTGTGAAGTTGGCCCAAAATATCCTCTTGAGATAAGTGCCATAGGCGCCTCGGCCCTACGTGTCTTTGGAAATCTTTCCTATGTCGTTTTACTGGTGCTCTATCCGTTCTATGGTAATAGAGAGGAAGAAAAGAACAGAGTAAGTGCTGTTCTTACTTTTCATTTGGTCTCAAACTATAATAGTTAAAAACTCTTGTTATTTTTCTGGGGGAAAAAACATTGAAAGATTTTGGAGCAACATAATAATACACAGTTTACTGTGCTAAGTTCTGGAGAGCAATGTTTTGGCTTAGTTTTGATTGTTTAAGAGTTAAGCATGAACTCAGACATGACTCAGTGGCTGTTGTTTTCAGGTTTGAAAATAC